CACAAACTTTCCGGGTCATGGGATTTGGGTTTTTTTTTTTAAGTTTGTTTAAACTCTTCATGACTAGTTAATTTGTATAAGAACCTTGAAGATCAAAAGCCCTGTATGATTCATAAGGGTTATTTATTTTACTAGCTATTTTTGTTTCATTTTCTGTCTTTTTGAAAATGTTGATGTTAGTACATCTCACACTGACAGCATTTTGATATTGTAATAAGTTGCCTTGACATTGTTTACCATCATAATTTGCCATAATAAGTGGCCTCAGCAGACTTGAATTGACAAATTCTTTATTTTCTTGGCATTGTAATGCAGTATCAGACAAGTTCTTTAAGAATATTTCATGAAGTAAAGGCTGTTAAGTCCTTGGGGGGGAAAAAAAGAAAAGTGGAGGCTGTGCAGTTGTAAAATGTGTCTTTAAACTTAAAAATCTTAGTCATTGTCAAAAAGACAGTTCATACCAAAAGTTCTATGTTAATAATTGGTATTTAGTTACTTTTTAAAAGAGCTCTAGCTTTAAAATAACAGTTTGAAACTTAATCCTAAATGGCTTTTTTATATTGAAAAAGAATAACCTTTCGAGGAGAAATCTGCATTCTAGCTGAAGATTCTGTATGAAGTTTCTGCTCAATGCCATAAAAATAAGGCAGATAAACATATCAAGAGTTTAGCATTTTAACAGTCTCAGTGAAATTCTTCTGCATAAGTGAATAGATAAATGACAATTTTTTTTCATTTGTATTTTTTTTTAGCCAATGGTTCTTTATATGGCAAAACATTCTAAATTTTGTATGTATGTTATAAACATTTTCTGTACTTTAGGATTTTGTATATTGAATATTTTATATTGATTAAGTTCTGCTATTAAACCCTATTGTTGTTTTAACAAATGCAACCCAAACCTGAGCCGGCTTTTGTAGGTGACAAATCTGAGGAACTGTCACAGATTGAAGTGTCACTAGAGGAGGTTTTGGAATTAATTGATAAACTTAACATTAACAAGTCACCGGGACCAGATGGCATTCACCCAAGAGTTCTGAAAGAACTCAAATGTGAAGTTGCGGAACCATTAACTAAGGTTTGTAACCTGTCCTTTAAATCGGCTTCTGTACCCAGTGACTGGAAGTTAGCTAATGTAATGCCAATATTTAAAAAGGGCTCTAGAGGTGATCCCGGCAATTACAGACCGGTAAGTCTAACGTCGGTATCGGGCAAATTAGTCGAAACAATAGTTAAGAATAAAATTGTCAGACACATAGAAAAACATAAACTGTTGAGTAATAGTCAACATGGTTTCTGTAAAGGGAAATCGTGTCTTACTAATCTATTAGAGTTCTTTGAAGGGGTCAACAAACATGTGGACAAGGGGGATCCAGTGGACATAGTGTACTTAGATTTCCAGAAAGCCTTTGACAAGGTCCCTCACCAAAGGCTCTTAAGTAAAGTAAGTTGTCATGGGATAAAAGGGAAGGTCCTTTCATGGATTGAGAACTGGTTAAAAGACCGGGAACAAAGGGTAGGAATTAATGGTAAATTCTCAGAATGGAGAGGGGTAACTAGTGGTGTTCCCCAAGGGTCAGTCCTCGGACCAATCCTATTCAACTTATTTATAAATGATCTGGAGAAAGGGGTAAACAGTGAGGTGGCAAAGTTTGCAGATGATACTAAACTGCTCAAGATAGTTAAGACTAAAGCAGACTGTGATGAACTTCAAAAAGATCTCACAAAACTAAGTGATTGGGCAACAAAATGGCAAATGAAATTTAATGTGGATAAATGTAAAGTAATGCACATTGGAAAAAATAACCCTAACTATACATACAATATGATGGGGGTTAATTTAGCTACAACAAGTCAGGAAAAAGATCTTGGAGTCATCGTGGATAGTTCTCTGAAGATGTCCACGCAGTGTGCAGAGGCGGTCAAAAAAGCAAACAGGATGTTAGGGATCATTAAAAAGGGGATAGAGAATAAGACTGAGAATATATTATTGCCCTTATATAAATCGATGGTACGCCCACATCTCGAATACTGCGTACAGATGTGGTCTCCTCATCTAAAAAAAGCTATACTGGCACTAGAAAAGGTTCAGAAAAGGGCAACTAAAATGATTAGGGGTTTGGAACGGGTCCGATATGAGGAGAGATTAAAGAGGCTAGGACTCTTCAGCTTGGAAAAGAGGAGACTAAGGGGGGATATGATAGAGGTATATAAAATCATGAGTGATGTGGAGAAAGTGGATAAGGAAAAGTTATTTACTTATTCCCATAATACAAGAACTAGGGGTCACCAAATGAAATTAATAGGCAGCAGGTTTAAAACGAATACAAGGAAGTTCTTCTTCACGCAGCTCACAGTCAACTTGTGGAACTCCTTACCTGAGGAGGTTGTGAAGGCTAGGACTATAACAGCGTTTAAAAGAGAACTGGATAAATTCATGGTGGTTAAGTCCATTAATGGATATTAGCCAGGATGGGTAAGGAATGGTGTCCCTAGCCTCTGTTTGTCAGAGGATGGAGATGGATGGCAGGAGAGAGATCACTTGATCATTGCCTGTTGGTCCACTCCCTCTGGGGCACCTGACATTGGCCACTGTCGGTAGACAGGATACTGGGCTAGATGGACCTTTGGTCTGACCCGGTACTGCCGTTCTTATGTTCTTATGTTAACTCCCTCCCCCTCCCCAAAACACAACCAAACCAACATTTAGCTAGCACCTCAGCAGTCTTGAGTTAAAAATCATTTCTTTCTTTCTTTCTTTCTTTCTTTCTTTCTTTCTTTCTTTCTTTCCTGGTACTTATAATCAGGAGGAGCTGGTAGTTGGAGGTGAGTACACCTTAAACAGAAATTCAGTAACTGGCCAACCAAACTAAAAACCAAATACTATCTATTTAAATAACCCTGTACTTACAGGAAAGTTTCAGCAGCAACTTAAGCAGTGGAACTTACACTATACTGCTTCCTCTCCAAAGAGAGAAAGATCTGTGTTTACAGCTCTGGCTGTGAATAAGGATTTCTACAGCTATGTTTCTGCCAAATATAAATAGGGAGCCCATTCTCTATCAGTATATAACTTCAACCATATCAGAGATGGGCCAGAAGAGGGCTGTATTTCTCCTTGTTTTCCTCCAAAATTTCACTGTGCTCAATCCTCACAAGATTTTCAGGTTTCTGTTTTTAGCTGCTGTCTTAATTCCCACCTCGACTCACCACTTGTGAGTCATTTTCTGGCTTGTCCTTCTCCACAGACTCACTCCCAACTCTGAGCTGTAATCTACTCCCAGCCATGGTAACTTGTTCCCGCTACAGAATGTATCCCGTCTGCTTCTGAGCACAATTTGTAACTCATTAACTGCCTGCTCTTCCTGATTGCGTTAAGGCGTCTTGCTTGAATTTGGCCTAAGTTATTTGTGGCTCTATGTTATATACATCTCTTTAAAATGAACAAAACAAAGTACATTGAGACAAAAAACTGTATTAGGATATTGTTAATTGTCTGACTTAAACTAATAAAGCCATACAAAAAAAATCAGTGTTAAATCTATGGATAGGTTACATGTGGTTCTCTATCATGGTGACTACCTGTATCTTGCTGGCTAGTGGGTGCTATTTTATACCCTGGGCATGATTTCGTAAAAAGTGTACTTCCAAAATCTTGCATTTTATTGAAGTCAGACACATTTTTGCTCAATCAGGCCCCAAATAATCTGAGAACTTCAGATACAAAAGAGATAGGGCTGAAAACATTTTTATGTCAGAGTTTCATACTTGAATTTTCTGTCTTCCATTGATTCAGTATAGATCCATGGATTTAATTGTTTAGTAGGATTAACAAAGTGACACTTTTATATTATCTGTATCAGTTTCTATGATAAGTGAACCCTCACATTATTACAACTGTAATGCAATAGGTATTTGTGTTCTGTGCATATGAATAGATCTCTATGGCCACAATTTCAAAAACAGCTTCTAAGCTTGCATCTTTGTTTGTCTATGTATAATAATTTGCAGCCACAAAGTATAAAATTTGTGTATGCAAATGATATTTGCCAGATTTGCATGCACACATTTTGTCTCTTGGGCTTCAAATGATTGTGTGTACAAAATTTTGGGTACAAGTTTAGAGACCAGAACAAGGCTCATTTGCAAATTCAGTCTTTAAAGTCATATTAATCACAGTAAAGTTCCTTTGGTCATACAAATGTGCAGTAAGTAAATAGATGCTACTATCTAGTTACCTCCAGGGTCCTATTTTCATCCCTCCTCCCATTTATAGCATCATACTTTGCACTTACTGTGTATAGCACTTTCCATCCCAGAGGCTCAAATAATTAATTAGTATAGCTAACAGTTCCCTTCTTTGGACGCCCCACTGTCCATCTGTGAAGTAGGCAAATGCTGTTAATCTCATTTTACAGATGAGGAAGCTATGGGACAGAGAGTTGAAACAACTTGCCCAAAGTCATACATGACTACCTTGTTATGGTATCTCTTAGGCCTGGTCTACACTAACCCCCCAAGTCGAAGTAAGGTACGCAACTTCAGCTACGTAAATAACGTAGCTGAAGTCGACATACCTTAGTTCGAACTTACCGCGGTTCAGACGCAGTCCACACGCGGCAGGCAGGCTCCCCGTCGACTCCGCGGTACTCCTCTCGCCGAGCTGGAGTACCGCAGTCGACGGCGAGCACTTCCTGGTTCGACTTATCGCGTCCAGACCAGACGCGATAAGTCGAACCCAGAACTTCGATCCCCAGCCGCCAAACTAGCGGCTGGGTGTAGACCAGCCCTTAGAAAGTGTAACTGTCGACTTCTGTGAGCATGCTGATGTTCCTATGAGAAGGAACAGCAATATGGCAGAAGATATGTGTCTTCACATATAGATTGTGAATAGCTGTTTCTTTCAGTAGTGGGAATACAATCAAAAATCCCAATTCAGTGGATTGTAACATATTCTGTATTTGTTTTGTGTGATTTTAGATTGATTATAGCATGAGAAGATGCCAGTTATCAAAGTGCCAGTGGTACACAGATTTGGAATATTATCCAATAGACAACATAAAGAACTTCAAAAGGAACTTTTGAAAAAATATTTGCCAAGTCATTCATATGAAATCCACAGTGACAAGCCTATGTAAGTGCAATTTAAATATAAACCGTAAGATCACTTTATTATTTACGGTAGAACAGTATGTGGTCAAAGTTTCTTTAAGTTTCAGTTTCTGTGGATCATTAACTTCTTGTATAGAGTTCTTGAGTTGACTAACACCTTATTATCTGTATAACCATTCAACTCTGGATGTGCATAAGACTTGAGAAAAAATTGTTCACTCCCAGTAAGAGCAACAAAATAATGACATCTGTCAGGTACACCTTAGAGGCATTTCATGGAAAGCTTGCTCCCAGTCATCCCTTCCTTCTAATCCAAATGCTTGGGGAATTTGAATGGTTGATTGCAAAACCTAGAACCAGCCTATTACAGATAATATGGGTCCTGCCTTTTTCACATCAGTTAGACATCTAACTGGTATCTAATTCCATCAACATGTTTTACCTAGGTGTAGTTTGACTGCTATATTGGGGAGGGCAAAGCACGCCACGCACATGCATGCACACACGTGCACACGAAAGCCAGTTCCCTTGGCTCACTGGTTCTCTCTTCCCGCCTGGAGTGGTACTTGGGCTGCTGGTGCTGGGGAGGGGGATGGGCCGGCTTAACGGGGGAGCCCCAGCTGCTGCTGGCAGCCACTCTGGCACTGGCTGCTGCAGTGATGTCACTACTCTGGTGCTGTTGTTGCTGCCTCTCTGCTGGGGCTGCTGCTACTGCCGAGGGGACATCACATTCCAGGCTCCTGCTTCCCCCCACCCATTCCTGTATCCCCTTCTCTTCCCCATCCTCTCTCCCCACAGTCCTCTGCCCCATCCCACTCTCTCTTCCCCCCACCACTCTTCCCTCTGTCCTCCCTTGCCCTGCCCCTCTTCCATGGGCACTAACCATTGTACAGGAAAGGGGTGGTCACTAGGATCAAGGAGGCGGCGTCCAGCAGCCGAGGCAGCGACCCGCAGTGCAGGGAAAAAGTTACTCTGTCTGGCTCATGGCGAGCCGAAATGTGCAGGGAAGGGCAAGGGGGAGGAGGCAGAGACCCCCTCCTGGGCAGGCTGAGCAAAGCAAGCCCTGCAGGGCAGCTTGGTGCTTGCAGAAATGGGGGGTGAGGAGGGGAGTGGCATGTGACACCCTCCCATGCCTCGCCTCTGGCAGGACAATGCCCCCTGCACTCCCCAAACTACGCCTATGATGTTTTATTATTCATTTGAAGACACCGTGTCTGATTAGCATATGTGTTTGTAATGCAAATAGCTTGCATCTACATGAAGCATGTTCAGTAGACTAAAGTCTAAGGCCAAGATCCCCAACCATTGTGACTCACTTTAGCGCTATGGAAAATTGGTCACACGGATGCAGTTTGATAAATTCCAAATGATTTGAGACCACTTAAGGCCAGATCTTTAGCTGATATCAATTAGCATAGCTCCCTTGAAAAATATCCAAGATCTTACAAAACTCAGAAGGTCCTGAAATCAAACATTCATAAATTCCAAGGCCAGAATCATTGTGATTATCTAGTCTGATCTCCTGTATAACATAGGGCATAGAACTTCCCCAAAACAATTTAGTTTGAACTCAAACATATCTTTTAAAAAACATCCAGTTTCGATTTGAAAATTGCTATTGATAGAGAAACCATCATGACGCTTGGTAAACTGTTCCCGTAATTGATTATCCTCATTGTTAAAAACATATGCCTTATTTCCAATTTGAATTTGTCTAACTTCAACTTCCAGCCATTGGATTCTATTATACGTACATCTGCTAGTCTGAAGATCCCATTAGCAAATATTTGTTCCCCAGCAGGTACTTCTATACTGTGATTGTCACCTCTTAACCTTTTCTTTGTTAGACTCAAGGAACTCAATCTATTTAGTTTATCGCTATAAGGGATGTGTTTTAATTCTTTAATCAATCTCATGGCTCTTCTCTGAACCCTCCCCAATTTATTAACACCTTGAATTGTGGACACCAAAACTGGATCCAGTATTCATGATAGGCTTTGGCTTACTGAGACAGTTTTGGGTTTTTTTCTTCTGGATAAGGCCATAACACAACAACCTTAAACTTGAAAAAGTACCTAAGCTGATCACACAGAACCAAATTACTCTTCTCCATTTTGATTTGGACTCTCTTACAGTTTCTCTTTGTTCTAGTGAAATTTTCAGAAATTTAGGATCTCAGATGAGATATGTAAATTCAGTTTACAATGAAAAAGGAAACCACTTAAAGAGGGTATAGTCCTAAATCAGAGATCTACAATATAATAGAAAGTTGAGCTATTAGATATCTCCACGTCTTCCCTAAAAAAAAAAAAAAAAAAAAAACGACTTGAAAATCTTTTACATCTGTCAGGTCCATTGATCTGCAACTTGTGCTTTTTGTGGACATGTGTACAATTTGTGTAATGCAGTGGGTGAATGATAGTGATGCTCTACAATAAATTGATATTTGTGTTATATGTTTTTACTTTTTCCAAGAAGCAGTTTGTAACAACAGTAAGGATCTCCATGGCGATACTCTATCAGGAATAAACAAATCAGTAGTTTATCAGCTTGGGAACGCATTGACCAGACAGCAGGTTACTGCCTGTAGTTCACTTACTGCTAGTAGGACAACTGGTTCTGGCAGTTAACTCAGAAATAAAATAATACAACATGACTGCAGAAAAATGCTATGCCTGTGGTGATATTTATTTCACTCTTCAGCTGGATCTGTGTGCAAAGTATTTTGTGTAGAGACATGATACTAGAATCCATCTCTTAGGAAATGTATCCTAATCAGTAAATGGCCACTCTGGCACCCCACAACTGATGTTGAAAATGCTATAGCTGCAGCATGCAACAGACAAAAGTTTTAAATATAATTTCAGAAAGCATGACTGAAGTCTTTTGGAACTTGTCTCAGTTATTATTCCATAATGGATGGTGTTCATCCAGGAGTTCTGAAGAAACTTATGAATGAATTGGCTGAATTTCTAGATAACTAAGTAATCTTTCCTTAAAATTAGCAGAAAGTTATCAGAAGACTAGAGAGTAGCAAATATTGTAACTATCATTTTAAAAAGAGCTCAGGGTGGGATCTGGGAATTCTTGACCAGTGAGCCATACCTTCAGTACTAGGTAATTTGGTTGAAACAATGAGTAGTGAAAATGGTGAAACATCTATATGAATTATAGAAACAAATCAGCCCTGTTACCGTAAAGGATAGTTGTACCTCTCTAATCTAGTAGAATTCTTGGAGTAGGTCACAAAAATAGTGCATAAGCAAGAATCACCACATATAATTTATTTGGACTCTCAAAAAACTTTTGACAAAAGTCTCTCACAATAGGCTGTTATGGAAATCAAATATTTATGGAGTGAGAGGTAAAGTATCGTCATGGATCAGAAACTGATTAAGAGACAAAAAATAAAGAGTAGTAGTCAAGGTCATGTTGGATTACACTAGGATTGGTAATGTTTAATATATTCATTAATCACTGGCAAAAGATGGATGAACAGTGAAAATTTGGCCGATAATACAAAATACTGTAGGATAGCCAAGACAGGAGAAGAACCATCAGGCGCTCCAGAAGACCTAGCAAAGTTAGGTGAATGGAAAGCACAATGGCAGATGAAGCTCATTGTTGGCAAATGTAAAATAATGGATGTTGGAAGGAATAATTTGAAGTACATATTAGAGCTTGTCAAAAAACTGGTAAATTAATTTGCAACATTTTTGTCAGATAATTTTTAGACATTTATGTGAACATCCACAGTTGCATTATTTATAATAAAAAAAAAATATATATAAGGCATGTAAACCCTCATGATTCAGGGCATAAGACAATCACTAATTGGATGGGGTTAGAAAAAATATCCCTTATGAACAGGTTATATCCTAATTGTCAGCTGTGGGATTCTTGTACTTTCTTCTGAGGCACCTTGTGCAGGTTGCTGTTGAAGACAGGATATTGGAGCAGATGTACTGATGGTCTGGTGTAGCAATTCCTATGTTCAAAAAGGATTTGTCACATCTACGCTAGCAGTTAAATCATTTTGAACACTAACTGAGGTGAGTGGTGGGGAATTTGTTGCTGATAACCATCTTTAGCCACTGTCTGTTTTCTGAGTATAGATGGACCTGTGTTCCATTCATGTTGCAGGTACTAGCTTGACCTTAGAAAAAGAGAGGAAAGGAAATTGACAGGGAGCCAAATAATGCCTGCTTGACTCATTAGAAACGTTCGGTTGACTTCAGTGGGACTGCACAAGTGAGTGAGGGGGTCAGGATTTGGCCCAAGATAATGAAGAAAGTGAAGTGTGAAAAAATGGAGAGAGTGACAGACACAGAGAAAGATGAATAGCGGAGAGCAATAGATACATTGGATGAAAGAACCAGCTACAAAAAAGGAAGCAGGGAACAAAATACAGAGAAAGAAAGATAGGGAGAGAGAATACTGGTTATCCTAACTTTGGTAATTGTATAATTTTTCCTTTAAGAATTATGTGGACAAATAATATGTAGATATTTGGTAAACCACAGGAGTAACAGGAAATAAATCTTTTTTTTTTTTAATCACCAATGTGTCTCAATCTAAGCTCTGGCTATTTATGCAGTGCTTTGGTAGCATTATATTCTCCTAGTTGGTCCTTACACTGATTAAAGAACAGAAGTGGTTAGTAACGTTTTAGAGCTGATAGTTTTTGCTGCCTGGCTGCTGGTTTTTTTCCTTTCTTGTCTGTAATGCTCTGTCACTAGACCCTAATGCCTATATTTAGAAAGACTTCCTTTTTGCACCAGTCAGCTATTGGTTAAAAATAGCTACATTACTTTGCCATTAAATATTCATTAAGATGAGCTGTCGCAGACTGTAAGAAGCATCCAATTAAGCAGTTCAACTTCTACACATAAGGCTACAAATGAGCAGTCTTCTATCTTTTCAATAATGCATCACAGAGTGCAGTTATTATGTGTAAAATAATTGATAAGGCATAAGTTATTTGTAAAATATATACTAGAAATAGAAAAGTAGCTCAGAGAGGATGATTTTGCCTTGGGATCCTCTGAGGTTGAATAAAATGTAATGTACATTTTTCCACCACGTGAGGAAAGCTGAAATGCCATGTCTAATCTCACAGTACTTTCTATTTCTGATGTGTATTCTGTGTCACAGAATCATAGAAATCAGAGATGGAAAAACCATGTTAGTTTTTATTCATCCCGCAACCCAGGTAGGATTGTAACTATGGGCTTGATCCAATGGAAAGATTCCATGGGCTTTAGGTCAACCCTGTATGTTTTTTTTTTTGTAGCCAATACACTGACCCAGGCTCAGATTTGTTTCTAAATTGTAAATCAGCTTGTATAACACTGGTGAATCACCAGAAGTAAAAAAAAAAAATACATGGGCCCAGTTTTTCTGGTTTGGCCAAGCTGAACTCAGTGCAGGACAAGAAATGGGGAATGAGGTGGGGAAGGTGGTTTTGTGCCATCACTGTGCACCCCATATCCTGGGGATGTCCAGTCTGGGCACTCACCTAAATTACTATAATCCGAAGGCATGTCATATGCTTCTTTCTTGTAGATTCATATTGAAATTACCGCCTTAGATATGTTTGCCATCTACTGGTTAATTACTGCCTGCCTTAACTTAATGATAGATGCAGTGTTGTTGCAACTGTGAAGAACTCTGTGTAAGCATAAAAGCTTCTCTCTCTTGCCAACAGAAATTGATCCAATAAAAGATATTACCTCGTCTCTTTAACTTGTTGACGTTCATTTTAATTCTCCATTTTGCTTAATTGCTGATGCCAACTCGCTGTTTCTAAGCATACCTACTGCTGACTGCCAAGGCCCTGAGTACTCTGCACAAGCTCAACTTAAATTCTGTGGCACACTGGAAATTGTACAGCAGTTTCATTTAAATTAAAAATTGAGGCTCTAATTGAATTAAATAAAAAAAAAAAAGAATACTGCACTTGTTGCAGTATCCCTTGTGTTATTTCATAGGAGAGAAAATGGCAATTTCTTTTGCTGTCCATACATTTAAAATATTTATTGTTGTTCAGAATTGTGTATTGATGATATATAGCTGCATTGTAGAAGTTGTCAGGGAAGGAAGCCAGGGATTGTGGCAGCTAGGCAAAGGACATCTGTGGTTTTTGAAACATCACAAGGCATAGGAGGCAGTCTGAAGGCTTGTTTACACTGGCAATTTACAGCGCTGCAACTTTCTTGCTCAGGGATGTGAAAAAACACCCCCCTGAGTGCAGATAGTTTCAGCTCTGTAAAGTGCCAGTGTAGACAGTGCACCAGCGCTGGGAGCTACGCCCCTTGTGGAGGTGGCTTTTGTAGAGTGCTGGGCTGCACCGCAACCACACAAGGCACGTTAAAATGAGATTGTGGAAGGTGTCTGTTGGTGGATGCTTGGTAAACTGATCAGCAGTGAAATAGTTTATAATGCTGTAATTTAAATTGTCCTTGATAGGTTGCAAAGTCAAAACCCTAGCAAAATGAAAGGAACAGTTCACACCTCTTTCAGAGCTATTGTTTTGGACTTCTGCAGTCTTGAGAAGACAACACTTTGCACTACATTGCTGGTTTAACATGACCATAAAACCAGTTTAACCAACCCACAAGGAATCACCCCAGTATATAAGGATATGTCTTCACTGCAGCCGGGAAGTGTAATTCCCAGCCGCTAGCTCTGCTTAAGCTAGCTCACCAAAAATAAGAGTGTGGTTGTGGTGGCACTGGCAACAGTTTGGGCTAGCGACCTAAGCACAATCCTGTCCAAGATCTTAGGTGTGTACTCAGGTGGCTAGCTCAAGTTGCTATCCATGCCGTCATGACCACATTGCTATTTTTAGTGCACTAGCTTGAGTAGAGTAAGTCCATGTATGTCTACCCGAGCTGGGAATTACACCTCCCAACTGCAGGTATAGATGCCACTGACCTCCCTGCTGCCAGTGTAAAAGTTTTTTTTCTCCTGCTGATTAAAGCTCATCTTAATTAATTAGCCTCTTAGAGTTGATATGGCTACTTCCACCTTTTCATGTTCTGTATGTATATATATCTCCTTACTATATGTTCCATTCTATGCATCTAAAGAAGTGGGCTGTAGCCCATGAAAGCTTATGCTCAAATAAATTTGTTAGTCTTTAAGGTGCCACAAGTACTCCTGTTCTTTTTAGGGAAAAAAGGGTGAATGCAATCCTAGCCATATTGAAGTCAATGGCAAAACTCCCGTTATAAGGCCAATGTGACTACTGAAGTGAGTGCGTGGCTGGGACAACCTTGTACAATGCTAATCTTTGGCTGAACAGTAAGCACCCCCTATTCCTGTTAAAATCCAGCATAAATTAGAGCAGCCTTCAGGTAAAACAGTTTGCAAAGACTGATACTGTACACTAACTTTTTTATTAGAAAAATGACATACCATGCCTCTATTTTTTAAAATTTGCATTAAAGTAATTCTTTCTTTGGACACTTTTATAGTACTTTGAACCTTATTATTTAGGAAATGAAACATATAACTGCAAAAATTTTTTGGATATTTCTTTAGAAACCCCTTGGAAATCACAGAAAAATTCATTCAGAAGTTCAATGATGCAACAAATCCACAGGATAAAGAAGACTTACTAGAACTAGCTAAGAAAATGCTTGCCAGATGCAAGGTTTGTGTACACAATAAGGGACAGTTTATATTTTTATTATTATGGCATTTGCATGCTCCATTTTCTTTATTAAAAAAAACAAAGATAAAACTTTTGTTGGGAGAAAGGATTGTGGGGAATGAGAGAAACAATTAGAAAGTATAAGTGAAATGTAATATTTAATATCTATGCTCTCAATGTGTATTGTAACATATATTAAGTTAGCCAATATAAGGGCTTGTATATAGTGCCTCTGTTGATCATCTGGTCCTAGGTCTCTTCTCATTGCTTAACATTTGTAAAAAAGAATATATCAGGAGAATATTATACAGGTTTTTCACTAGTTTATAGCTGAATGGACCTGTTTTAAGTTTCTTCAAGAGAACTTTTAGCAATATGCAGTGATTAGCTGTTTAGCTGGAATGCTGTTCTGACATGTTTTCATGTTTCATTTTATTTTGTCCATTAAAATGTTGGCAACTGTTTTGAAAAGTGAAAATAGTAAACACAACACTTTGAGACCCCTAAATGATTCCTTGTGGGCTTACTAAGCCAAAAATAGATAACAGAGTGTAGAAACAGAGTGGCCATTCAAATTTGAAAGATATTAAAAAAGCGACATAATTGGCATTTAATAGGCCTTAAAGAGGAGGCTGTGGTGCTAATATAATTTCTGCTACCATCCAAATTAAAAATTTATACATTATGAAGTACACTTAGGCCCTATTTGCAAATCATGGACTTTCAGTATGAATATTATCTTTTTTTTAATGGACCTTCTACTTGGCAGGAAAGGTGCATTGGCTAACAGTTTTCCAAACCTCTTTCCCGCCTCCCCCTTCTATAACTGGTACCCTCATAGAGGCATGTTAGTGAGATTTGGCTGATTTTGTGCTGGAGTACAGATTTCTATTTTGATCAGATTAATTCTGGATTTTTTTCAATTCCAGAAGAATACTTACCCTGACAGTGGTAAAGATGCATCCTCCTTTAGCACTAGTGAACAGAAAGGCAGAGCTGGAAAACTGCCTCAGCTTAGCACACTTACTAATTGTGTTAATTCGGTCACCTCCAGTGTCCAAAAGCTGTTGCCTTTCCATCCTTCACTGGTGTGCCAATGCTCTATTTGGGTTAGATGAGAAAGTCTAATTTTAATGGCAAAAACAATGGAATTATTTGTACAGAAAGCCAATGAATACTACCAGTTGCAATCAGTTGCTAGAATGTAGAAGGGACTCTAAGGGAAGGAATGTTCAAATAAAATGTTTTTCTATTGTTTATCCCAAGAGCTAAATGCATGCAAAATGTTATGAAAATCAGATGTAATATACTATATGTTTTTCTTGTTTAACCAAAAGAGGTGAGCAAAAATGTCCCAACATTTTGGCTATGAAACCCTCCATAAAAAGGACATCTGTTGAAAAAGCAGCAAAGAGTCCTGTGGCACCTTATAGACTAACAGACGGAGTATGAGCTTTCGTGGGTGAATACCCACTTCGTCGGATGCCTCTGACGAAGTGGGTATTCACCCACGAAAGCTCATACTCCAATATGTCTGTTAGTCTATAAGGTGCCACAGGACTCTTAGTCTGGATCTGTAAAAGCAGCAAACACGGCTACCCCTCTGATACTTGACATCTGTTGAAAAGATTGTTTTGATCTAGAAAGAGTGGAATTTGCAAAAAGCTAAAGTTTCAGAGAGATATATTGTCAGGATAGCATATTGTTGATTCCCTATCAATTTCAGCCCTACAGAGATAGTAATAGTAGTGTCCTTGTACTAAGTTGGCTGGAGTCACTACTGTGATTCAGAGATGGTAATTAATTGTTTTGATTCAAGGCACTTAAAATGGGTGATAATACTGTAATTATAGTTAAGTATTCCTATTCTTAATTAAGTGTTTACCCCAGGGATTAAGCATTGCTGCCTCATTAGTTTCTGCTATTGTGTTTTGTATCAGCAAACTCTTACCAATGATGCCTTTAAAATAAGCATTTTTATTCCAAATAAATTGGCTTGAGGGAAAAGTTTTATTTTAAGCTAAATGTAAGAAAAAAACCTTTGGCTTTTTTTCTTTCCCCTCTCACACTTTTCCTTCCAAACAGAGAAGATCAGGCCTTGGCACATTAGGTTCTGGGAAGCATGTGGATCTTCCAGTAGCATGGACAGAAGCAATTATATTGGCTCAATGCAAAGGTGAAATCCAGGAAGGTACAGTATTCTTCAATTATATTTCTGTTAATTACTTTAAGACTTTTCTAACCAAGCAGTGAAAGCAAATTTAGTTTATTCCCAACTATGAAAACTTGGAAGAAAGCCAAGACAAATATGGATTTTATTTTCCACTTGCAGAAAGAAACTTTACAAATATATACAGAAACTATCAGTGTAGTATTTACAGAGTGTTTCAGAGACCTCTGTTTTTATGCTTGATTTCTTAAATTGCAAAATCATTACCATTTAAGCACCTCTACATGACATTACCTTGTAACCTGTCTCTGAAATCAGTAACTAATTAAGTGTAATTTAAAATGACATTTAATGATCTCAAAGTAAAGTGCTTTAAATAACCTCTTGTTTTTACCTTTCCTAATTATGCCCATTAATAAAATTGCAGAATATTGAATTAGTTCTGAAGACTTTTTAAATGAAAATGTTAACTTGTTTCAATCTAAAATGTTCTTAATTGTGGTAGCCCTTCCTTAGTAAAGTCAGGTAAAGAGAGGATCCTATACAGACTCTTGCATGGACACGAAGGTATTTTCACTTTTTTTTACTGACAGATAGCATTTTAGCTAGAATAAGATTTATGAAAATAATTTCCTGGCAAGTAGGTTTAAATCCATAATCATCACACATACCTTAGCTTTTCTGGCCAGGCTGGAGAGCAAGTGCAGTAGAGTGGCTAAAGAGAGAATCATGCAATCCTGCATATTTGAAACAGAAATGATGAATGAGTGTATGTGCAACATCTATGATCTACAGTCTACACTGCTGATGTGCAGGACAAAGCAAAGTCATTCCATTCCTATTTTATAGATGATATGGTACTCATGCTCTTTTTTAAATGTATGGGGTCATTCCAAAAGTAAAATGGGACCTCATTTAAATAAGTCTGGCGGTGGAGTGATATTGCCTGTCAAAAATCCTGGGATGTGGTGGGGGAATGTGTGCAAACATTCTCTACATTTACTGCAATCTCAGATCATGATCAGAAGGTCTCTAGTTGTAGGTGTTGGATTTTTCAGTGTACTTTGAGCTAATGATTGTATTCATGTGAAAAAGGAAATCTACAAAGGAAAAGGAAACAGTTCAATAGTGTGCCTGTGAAAGCAATATCAAGACTACTATATAATCTTGTGTTGCTTTTATTAAGCTGGGAATTCTTGGGGGGTTTGTGGATATTGTACTATGAATACAAGTACTCTAATGGGGAACAAATCAAAATAGATGGGTGTGCAGAGAGTTCTATGCTCATCATCTTGCAATTCCTCATTTTTCTTTTCTTGTTTAGTGATTTTGGGCTGACCTAAACATTATTTCTCTCATAATTTACAGGGTTTGAGTAAGATGCTGAAGCCTAAGGCATTTGATTGAAAAGTGTCTATTTCTCTTCATACTCTTTTACCTCTAAAAATCATGTGCATTTGAGTTTGATAATGATGACTAGACCGTCTTAAGAAGATAATATTCACAAAGTTATGGAGTTGCTTACACTCAGTAATCAAATAAATAGTTAGTGAGCCAGACGCACCATGATGTAACCCAATTAAAGTCAATCCAGACAAGCCAGGGATGAATTTGTCTTTATATGCTTTGCCAAAGATTATCTCCTCCAGAAATGAGAAGTTTGAGAAGGTAGTGTACAAAATACTATCAGTGACTTGGAAAAAAAATGTTGAGAGCTATAAAACTTACAGGGGTGTGGGGGGGAACAAAGAACTGAGCTGTCAGTTGATCAAAGATCATATTGTTAAAAATGACTGATAATTTGGAATACAAGCTGAATGTAAGAATTATCAGAATTTTAGGGGTTCTAGTACTGTGCATTCTACTGTAGTATTGGGAGACACAAGATTTTTTTTAGGGGATGGTTTGATAAGGTTGTGGAACGGGTTTTTGTAATTGCTCTGAAAGGCCTATCTTTCAAAGAGCTATTCCAGTTATGAAGGAATACTGTGTTGATAATATGTGGATACCTTTTTCTTCTGGAGGGTCAAGAATCCTTCTTTTAGTTCAGATTACTTCTTAGCAGTCTACCAATATCAACCTGCCAACAACAAACTGTTGATTATTTAAAAAGTAATAATAATACAGTAGCTGCACCACTTAATGATAAATCCATATTCTGGTCAATTGATAAACTATGTGTCTGAATACTATTGTTTGTCTGTTTAGGCCACAATCATGCAACAGGATTCAAAAGTATTGACCCTTATGCCCTCATGGAGTTCCTTGAGGCAGGGACCTCTGTTTTGTGCAGGCATGAGCATTCAATAAATACTAAAAGAACATTGTTTTTACTGGTTGCATGGAGAAAAGGCTTTTGCATAATTAATAAATAAAATATTTATCTTTTTCCATGCTATTATTTTGGAGAGGAAAAGGACTAAAAAGAATTTCGCACAGCAGCTCTGGAACTAGGATGGAACTAGTACATATACATGATTGTAAGCTCATTGGGACAAGGACTGTGATTTACTAAATGTTTGTACAGTTCCTAGCACAATATATTCCCAACCCAGTTGAGACCTCTACGTGCTACGGCACCATCAGTACTCCTCCTCCTCCTCCTCCTCTATTTTTGGACAAGTGGAGGAGGCTGGGAAATTTGTTGGACAAAGACTGATCCTTTAATCATATAATGTGTGGATGATCAAGATGGGGAAGAGGAAGTGTTGAACTGGGAAGATTTGGGACTGTGGTTTCGCTCCTGCCTGCAGGATTTGTGGGGAGGTTAGGGGAGGTTCTTCTTCCTACAGACTTTGAAAGTTGGCAGACAAAGCAGGGGATTTTAAGTCAAGATTGAGGCACATTGGTAGGCATGTTTGAGGAAATTTGCATAGTGACTTCCTGGCTTAAACTTTACCTATGAGATCTATAAATCTGTCACTTTCATGAGCATCAGATTCACACAAATCATTAACCAAAATTGAACAAAGCCATCATGTAATTTTTAAAAAACGTAATACTTGAAAAAGCAATTTAATGCCTTTTCAACCATAAAAAGCAATTCTATCTTTTCCACTATAGTTTTGTAACGTCATTTTCATTGATATCACAAAAAAGATCAACACACCTAGCAAAAAATGACAGAAAAGTTGACACAGTAGAAACTTTCTGAAATGTGATACATCTCAAGAAACAGCTTACATTATACTTCTTGGTAATTAGTTTAACATTATTAATTCAGACAGTTTTGTACCATATATTTCAATACATACTTTAACAGAAAATTTCAGTAGCTGTTGAATACAGATTATCAGACAGTTGAGCTTTGTTTTCTCCTCAAAATAATAGTCACAGAAGGCAAACAAACTGAATGAACTGTGAAAATAAAGCTTGTTTTATTTGTTCATAACTTGGCAAGTATTTGAATTTTGTGGAAGGTATGAAATTAGTATATACAGTACGCAATCAGAAGAAACTAAGGGCTAGAGCCATAAAATGACTTAGGCGCCTAACTCCCTTTGAGTGTGGGACTTAGGCCATACTCCTCTCCTTGGGATTTCCTATTGGCTAGTTTACCCTACTCAGCATGCTGGCTTCTGTGGATCCCATTGTTATGTGCCTAACTCTCCCCATGTATTGTATAGGGTACCTGGGTATTTAACTCGAGGCTGTCATTACCACTGGTTGATCAGGCTCCTAAAAGTTAGGTGCTGCAAAGCCTAAATCCCTTTGTGAATTGAGCCCTAAAGACTGAACTCTGTATTGAATTTATTCTCCATTTTGTTTTCACTTCAGAAGCTTTGGACATCCTTTTAATTTCTTTGGACCATGCTCCCATGAATCCAGAGCATGTCCCTGTTTTATTTTTCATCGCTGAATCCATTTTGTATAGGATTTGTTGTGATGCGGCACAGAAATCTTATTTATACTCCAGTGAAATCAAGTTATCAAAGGTTTGTTATATTTTTTTTAAGTAGTTTTTAGTGGGGTTTTTTTATATCTGTATATGTGGTATATATTCATCCACTTATTTTTTGTTGTATATCGACACTATGAAATATATGACATTACACTGGATTTATACCACTATAAATGAGAGCAGAAGCTGACTAAATTTGTCACAAGACCTAAAACGTTGTAATGTTTTCTAATATTATTTGTGGTATGCTTGTTCTATAATTTAGTTTGATCTTAACTTTCTGTATCTCTGAATACGTGATTTCTGGGAAGTCCAAAAATGAGAGATTAGGAAAATGCAGTTTAATCTTTCCCAGAGTATGTAATGAGAGAGTATAAAATACAGATAAAAGACTATTTTTTGTTCATAATGCATATTGTTAACTTGAATTTTCTCATAATATTAGTAATATTCTTGCATAATATTTTGTTAAATTACACAAACTCTTTATTCTCCCATCTGGATTATAATTAACGAAATATAGCATGCTAGGTCACATAGTCTTAGTGCACCACCATGACAGTTATGCATATGAGGTCTGGTCTACACTACAGAGTTAGGTTGACATAAAGCAGCTTATGTCTATCTAACGCTCTAAGGGTACGTCTATACCCAGCCGCTAGTTCGGCGGCTGGAAATCGAACTTCTGGGTTCGACTTATCGCGTCTTGTCTGGACGAGATAAGTCGAACCCGGAAGTGCTCGCCGTCGACTGCGGTACTCCAGCTAGACGAGAGGAGTACCGCGGAGTCGACGGGGGAGCCTGCCTGCCGCGTCTGGACCGAGGTAAGTTCGAACTAAGGTACTTCGAACTTCAGCTACGTTATTCACGTAGCTGAAGTTGCGTACCTTAGTTCGAATTGGGGGGTAAGTGTAGACCAAGCCTAAGTGTCTACACTAAAATGTAGCTCCGACCGATGTAACTCGCCCACTGCACTGATTTAACTGCATGAGAGGTGTAGTGCTTAGGTCGATGTAGTTAAGTCGACTCAGTGTCAGTGTGAACAATGTGTTGCTTACATTGACTGTTGCTGCCTTTCAGAAGCTGTCCCACAATGCCCCACACTGACAGTTAAATCGGTGCAAGCGCTTTTGGTGAGGATGCACACTGCCGACACAATGAGCATAGCATGGACATGCAAAAGCAATTTAATTACTGTGTGGCTGTACATTGACGTAACTTAGGTCAACTTAATTTTGTAGCGTAGACTTGCCCTAAGAAAAAGGATGAAATTGAGGCAACCCAAATGGGAATAATCCAAATGAGAGTAATCTCTTCTAAAAGCTGAGTAAATAGTGTAAACTTCTAGTATAATTTAAGACTTAGCTGATACATCACTATTTAATGGTCTAGTTTTGAGTATCAGTACTATACCTCTTTCCTCTTTACCTCTTAGAAACCACTTCCAAAAGTTACTGATGTGGTAATTCTTCATTCTACAACAATTTTTCAGTTAGTCACAACCCAGAAACATAAAGTGTTATTCTCTCATAAAGACTGAAATCCTTATTGAAACTGTACAATATGGATGAAATTAAAGACTAAACCCAGGTGAAATTTTTTTGACTGCAGGTTTTGGGGTTTTTTTTTTTTTTGAAGAAAATGCACATTTGGATTTACAAAAACACTATATAAATTTATTTCAAATTCAATAAATAGTTTTGGTTAAAAAAAAAAAAACAACCATAAGGAAAAAAAAGTTTCATTTTTAATGTTTTTGAAATGAAAAATTTTGATTTTCCAATTAAAAATGACTTTTGGTATTGAAATTTCCTTCAATTTCATCAAGAAAATATTTAAAATCCGAAGAAGTGGGTTGTGGCCCACGAAAGCTTATGCTCTAATAAATTTGTTAGTCTTTAAGGTGCCACAAGTACTCCTGTTCTTTTTGCGGATACAGACTAACACGGCTGCTACTCTGAAACCTGTCATAAATGACTTATATTTGCCAAAATTTTTGAAAAATTTCATTTTGGGTCAACTTGAAACACATTTTTTTGAATTTGGATTTTTTAGAATTGCCAGCAAACAAACAAAAAATCATGTATTTGCACAGCTCTGTTAGGAAATTGATCCCACACAGCATACATGTGGAGGACTGTTAATTAAATACCATTCTCTATTAGCACTTGTTTTACTGCTCTGTTATGTGTCCCCACTGTTTCTGCAGATTAAACCTTACTTTCACTCTCACTTGACCAAAATAGCTACCTGACAGGAGGGTATGTTTTACCACCTTTTTTTCCCATACAATTCTTCTACCACAACAAGGAAGAATGTACCTGTTTTGAAGGCTGTTTGAACTATTAGAAAATGCTCCTCCACTCTCAAAACCTGATATGCCATAGATTAGAACAAGCTGCAGGAGTCTGGCAATAAACCCCCTCTTGCAATGGCTTATGACTTCCGAAACTCTCCATATTTCTAGTTTAAACTAAATTGTTAATTATTTTGGAAAGTTTAAACAAAATTGATTCTGCCATCTTTTAGTTACATGAGCAGGAAAAGAGAATTTTTTTACATTCATGTGAAGTTTTAATGTTCACCCATGTCTAAGCTGTCTGCTTGGGGGAATAAAGCATGGCAAAGACAATAAAATATACACTATACAAGGGTATTTGTTATATCATATACTTCAAATCAGATTTAACAGATTTTAACTAAAACTTGAAAAAAATCATTTTCCAGCTTTGATCGAGCATGGAAAATTTCAGCCCCCACAGAATGTTTTATTTGGAAAATGGACAATTTCAACTGAAGCTGTTTTGCAGCCTTAACAATAGCCAGTGCCTCATGTATAGGGTTACCATATTTAAAAATTAAAAAAGAACACTCCATGGGGCCCTGGCCCCTCCCCCGCCCCAACTCTGCCCCTTCCCCTACCGGCCCCGCCCCAACTCTGCCCCTTCCCCGCCCCAACTCCACCCCCTCCCCTGAGCGCCCGCATTCCCCCTCCTCCCTCTCAGCCATGAAACAGCTGCCCGAGCGCTACCAGCTTCGGGCAGCCCCCAGACCTCCGGACCCTGCACCCCCGGCCGGGCACTTCCCCTCCCAGGCTCCGGCGGTAGCTGCTGCGTGCTGCTCCCTGACTCCTCGGCTCTGTAAGAGCCGAGCTGCCCGAGCGCTACCGGCTTCGGGCAGCCCCCATGCCTCCGGATCCTGCGCCCCCGGAGCGGAAGTGCCTGGCCGGCGGCGCAGGGTCCGGAGGTCTGAGGGCTGCCCGAAGCCGGTAGCGCTCGGGCAGCTCGGCTCTTACAGAGCCAAGGAGTCAGGGAGCACAGCAGCCGCCGGAGCCCGCTCTAAGGTAAGCCAGGGATGCCGGAAGCTGGGAGTATTTTTCCCGGACATGTTCGGCTTTTTGGAAATTCCCCCCGGACGAGGGTTTGATTACCAAAAAGCCGGACATGTCCGGGAAAAACCGGACATATGGTAACCCTACTCATGTACTCTGTGACTGTTGGGACCTAAATTATGCAAGAAGCTTTGTGGAATTGTCTGCACCAGGACAATGCAGAATTTTGTGATAAATTTACTATGACAGGACAAAATATTTCTAAAACTTCCAGTAGTGTGGGAATCCACCAAGCACTATGGAAGGATAAGCCATTTCCAGAGATGATCAATGGTTCTTCTTAGCATAGTGCTTTGCTTTCCCTCTGGATCTTTGAGATTCCTATATTTGCAGAATGCACCTCTTGCCATTTCCTTAGATCTCAAATCCCTTCCTTTTGGGATGCATGCATGCAGTGCTGCAAGATAAGCCTTGTAGAATTTCAGTAGTAGTTACCTCCTTCTTGTAGGTTTTTCTGTAAGAGTGGAGCATCAGGGCCAATATTTGTTTGATTTCAACCTCCTCTTCCTCCCATTAAATTATTTTCCAATAAAAAGCACCAGGGATGTTGCAGAAGATTTACCTTATTATAAGGAAGGTACATTTTGGGCCCTAAACAAGCTGACAGGGTCTCTTTTTAGTATTTGTTATGAAGTAAACAATGAGCATACTAGCTGAGCTGATTTAAAGTTGAAATTCCTAGGATGTTTCCTTGGTTTTAGTAATGTACATTTTAAGTAGCTCCCTTGGAAACTGGGAGATATTCTCACCCTCTCATTTTCTATACGAAAGCAGGATCTCCCATTCATTCTGTGAGATTCTTTGTATGACTGCCAGGATTCTGGTTGAACAGCAGCAAAAACAAACAAAAACCAAAAAATCACCATTAAGGGCCCAATCCTGCTCCCACTCAAGTCAGAGTTTTCTCATTGACTTGAGTGGAAGCAGAACTGGCATTAACTCCATGCATCATTCAATGGTGCATGAGTCTGATCTCACTTTTACTGGTGTAAATCAAGAGCAGCTCTCTGGAAGCTGATGGAATTACATGGATGACAAACTGGTGTGAGAGAGAACTCAAGCCCTAAAGGTCTGACCCTGCAGTCTCTACATAGCCTGCCTAGGACCTGCAAGGTCAGGCCATTTGTAGCTTCAGCATCTGAGCAAAGTCTTAGCCATCCAGATCTGCAAATGCTTTTAACCTTTAGGGGTTGTCTGGTTACAAAAACTAAAAGGCCCTACACACACGCGCGCACACTCAAAATCAGTCATCTGCAGTTAAGCTACATAATCAAAAGTAAAAACACAAATCAGAAGAAAGTACCCAGAAGTCTGTGAGGAGCCAATCCCAATGACACTTCCCTGATCTTACCTCTGGCTTTCCCCCTGGCTGTGCAGTGCTTCCAGGTATTGATCCTGGTAAAACAAAAAACCCTACAAACACATAGAGAAATACAAAAGTGTCCTGTATTGTCTTAGCATCCTTGTGCAATCTCTTTACTTACTTGCAACACTTTGTGCTGATTCGGTGTTCCAAAATACATGTTTTCTCCTTCGTGTCTGTCTGGGAGTTTGGCCACGAGAAGGATAGCTGCTTCAAACACTTTTCTTATATAAAACAAATTCTCTCATTTTTGCATGTTTTCAGAGGCTTATATCTGGGAAGAACAAACTTTCAAGATTTTTAAATAGAACACATCTATTATTTTTCTAGGTACTGCCAGGATTCTCTCTTTGTCACATACATCTGCCACAGTAAATATGATTGCTCTTTCTGAATCTTGCTCAGGGGTCTTAAATGGAGCCCTTATTTTGATTCTATATGATCTTTCAAAATACTCTTTTCGGATCTTTAGCTAAATCCAACTGCAATATATTCAGAACCCACTGTTCCAAAAAAAGCAATATGATTGTTTGTTCCAGCTGCTCCAGAGAGTCCAATTATTCTGACATTTTAAATTCTGAATGATTTTCCAAGATTTGCAATCTGTTTAACATTTTATTTTCTTTAATGATGGCTGCATGGAGGCTGTTAGCTTTCTCGTTTCTTTTCACATGCTTTGTTGGCTTTTTCTGCTTCTGTTAGCTTGGCCTCTAAGTTATCAAAGCTACCATCTAAAAATTGTAAGCTGTCAAATGTAGTATCTAGCTCTACAGTTGCAGAATGGATGCTACTAAAATGCCCACACATTTCACATGGGATCTCCTTGATGGAGTGTTTTTGCCCTAACACTCCCACTGCAGGGCCTGGTCCATGCAGCACTGTTGACAAAGACGAGAGCTCCATGGTTCTCCTGATTGGCATTGTAACCATAGAATCATCATACTGGGTTGAGTTTTCTTTGGTTTTGTGTAATTTTTCCTTATTTCTGTTTCCTCAAACAAATCTGTCCTCAGTATTGGAGGGATTTAGTTCACAAAAGTGTGTTCATTCCCTTACACTAAGAAAATTCTGAGGATATGTATCTTCTCTCACCAGCTTCCCCCCCCCCCACTGAAAAGAAAACCCTATACAAGTGCCCAAGTGTTATTAATTTACTATGTACCATTAATATACAGTGAATGCAAAACACAAGACAAGAGTTATTCATTATTGCGCCACATGTGTGAAATCTGAAGATATGATCTGATTTAGCACTCTCTTAATCCAGTTTCATGCTGGTGTAACTCAGTGGAGTTATATCACTGTTCAAGTGGAGGAGGGCAGTGGTGAATAAGACCCATAATCCAAAGGTGGTATTTATACATCTATTGTGAATGGCATGATATAAAAAATATTTGTTGTACTTACTTTTGACAGGTTGGATTTTTGGTCTTTTTAAGGCTCCTTGTTTTTCACCTGTGTGGTCACCTGGAGACTTCTGGAGAACATACATATAGGCTTCATACAGATTTAAAAGGTAGAACATTGTATATTTGCTATATAAACAACATTAAAAATGACTTTTAACTACTAATTTGGGAAATGGAAGTGACCTAAGTGAATATCTCACGTTGTGCTGCACCCAAGAGACTACCATTTGATTCTCAGGAATACTGTCCACCTGAATTGAGAGTTTCATATGCATCAGTAAGCATGCAAAGCAGTCAACATTTAGCTTCATTAAATGAGATAAAATAGAAAAGGTGAGGTCTGTAGGTGAAGAAGGAAGAAAAATCAGAGCAACTCTGCACCACTGTGTAATTAGTCCATTTAGTACATATGCCAAAAATGTACAGTATATTGTGATTTTAAGACTATTGACTGATCTCAAATAAATACTTGCTTATAAGCAGGAATGCTGAGTATTTTTAAAACATACATGAATCAAATCAATATCTTTTAAAGATTATTTGGAATGTGATTAATATTAATTATCTGTAAAGCCTTACTAAAAAGCAATCTTATATAGCACCATATGTTTTAGGTGATAACAGGTGAGGTAACTGCTATAAATAGAAAAAAGTGACATTGCAAAAGCCTTAAGTTTCCCTCAGGTACGGTACTAACATACAGCCCAATCCTGCAGGGTGCTGAGTGCCTGCAACTCACACAGACTGACAGTGGAAAGGGACAGTGCTCATAGGACTGGGCTCTTGTCAGTTATTTGTTATGCTGACATTGCTGATAAATTTAATCTAATGCCAAGTATTCATATTCTATTTCAGACTTTTCAGCATGCACGCACACTGTATGCAGTGAATCAGTAGGCTGCTGCTGTAGTAAGACTGCAGAGGTATTGCAGTCTTGCTACTATCAATTGGTTGTCATGGCCACAAATAATACACAAAATGAAGAACAAAGAATCAGATGATTTAAAAAAAATGATTACCCACTTTTTTCCTGACACCTTTTATTTTACAAGCTTTGTCCACACCAGTCAATTAAAGAAAACACATAAATATAATAGACACTCTCACAACAGAACTTCCTGTATCTGCAAGTTCTTAAAATGTAATGCAGTAAGCAATATTTTGGCTTAAAGGCAGTCAAATCTGCATTCACCCAACCACTGGGGTGATTGTTATACATCCTTTCAAAACCCCTTTTATTTAATGCACTGAATTCAGATGGCTCAATACATTACTCCATCTCTTCAGTGCTAAGTGTTGTTATTGAGAGGAATCAAATCCCATTTGCAGTACAGATGTCAGCATGTGAATGCTAATCATGGAGCTTCAGATCTTATCAAAGGATATACATAGTTTTTTGTTTTTTTTTTTAAAAAAAGCTCCATTTTAGTTTACAAAAGTTGAGTATGGTTTCCATGCAGAGTTAGCCAAAAATAGGGTTACCATATTTTGAGTGTCCAAAAAGAGGACACTCCACGGGGCCCCGGCCCCGCCCCCAGCCCCGCCCCTGCCCCAACTCCACCCCTTCCCCAAAGTCCCCGCCCCAACTCCGCCCCCTCCCCTGCTTCCCACGAACATTTGATTCGCGGGAAGCCTGAAGCAGGCAGCAGGTAAACTAGGCGGGGTGGGGGGAGGAGGCGCGGCCTAGTCTGGCCCCCCCAACGGAGCGGCTCCCTCCGGCGGCCGGCCCCGGCCCCAGCCTGGCTCGGCTCGGGCCCTGGGGTGCCAGCCCCCGGGCCAGCCCCTGGCCGAGCACCCCCGGGCCAGCCCCCTGCCGAGCACCCCCAGGCCAGCACCGCCAGCCCCCGGCCCAGCCCCAGCCTGCGGCCCAGAGCGGCCCCGGCCCAGCACCCCCGGCCCAGCACCGCCGGCCCCGGCCCGGCCCCCGGCACAGCACTCAGCGGCGCCGGATTTTCCCGGACATGTTCGGCTTTTGGGGATTTCCCCCCGGACGGGGATTTGAGTCCCAAAAAGCCGGACATGTCCGGGAAAATCCGGACGTATGGTAACCCTAGCCAAAAATAAATGCAGTCACTGAATGACTGGCATGAAGAGAGTTTACATTGTGATTCAGTGTTACCTGAGAGCCTCCTCACCTTGTTCAGAGTTAGCCTTAGTTAATTAGGAATTCAGTCATCATGGGAGATTTCAACTATATGTAGCTCATGGGTTACATAAGCTATTATCTATGAATCATACTTGTAGTATTGTGTTCTACCACAAGAGGTCACACAACATTTATAAATCTACTCTGTGGAAAATTTGCTAATGATTCCATCAGCAAAGTAGTGAAGTTAAATAGCACATAATAAATAAAAGGCAAACAGAATAAATTATAAAACAACAGGAAGACAATTTTCACAAAATTATTTTTCATGCCATAGCACTTTCAGCTTGTGAGGTCTGCTACCATCCATATCCAAACATCCTCTCGGCTGTGCAATTTATGCTGAAGGCTGGAGAAACCATATGTGGTGCTGTGGTATTTTCTGATGTAAGCTTGGAAGAAAGACAGAAGCAGAGTCCTCTTGGCATGGTGGGTAACATAAATCAGATGATATATGATGCATCAAAAAGGATTACTGTGATCAAATAAGCATGCTTGGTAATTCAGTGAAAATAATTAAAGCTGAGCTGAGCTAGACAAACTACCTGTAGTCCAGGGACAGGATAAACAGAATAGACAGATCTGTAGTGATCGCCGCCTGGATTTGTGAAACATATCATTTCATGAATACACTATCCATGTTTCTTTGATGCAATGCAATTAATTATCAATGTGATACTATAGTGACCCAATGCATATTAGTAGCTAGGGTGGGGTCAGTATCCCTTTTAAGATTCTGTTCTCATGACAGCATTCACTCCCGCTCTATGGCATCTGCTTCCTTCAAAGTGTGTGTGGAAATGGACAGGGATGGGTGGGTGTGGGGGAGTTCATGCACAGCCCTTCTGCAGCAACAGAGCACTTTCCTGAATCTTGCTGCCATGGGAGGCAGCATAGAGTAGCTGGCTTTTTGAGGGCTGCCCTGAGGCATGCAGATTTCCCTGTAGATATTGGGGGTGCCTGCACGGTTGAATGGCCGTGTCCCTTGCTCTCTTTGTGCAGCCCCAGATCCCTCCCCCTGGAGATGATGCATCAAATGCTGTGTGCAGTGGACCAAAGAGAATTTTTCTGAGTAAGTTTTCTCCTCTGGCTGCCTTTTCTGTGCTAGGGAATAATAGGACCCATAATGATGTGATGCACAATAGCCTATCATTTATATGATTAAAGACTGCCTAATTATGTGTCTAGCTCGCAGGCTGTAATGACATCAAAAGGGCTGCTACAGTCTCTCTCGGGTAAACAATATTTCTTGCCCTTTTCTCTTTACCTAATTATGTATTTACATGAGGAAGTGTAAGACTGTGTGAGCACTGACTGACGTTGTTTTTGTTTGTCTTTTCCTAATCTAATAAGTAAATATAAATAATATTTATAATACTAATAATTCTTAGCTCTTAAATACCAGTTTTCATCCAAGGATATCAAAGTGCTTTACAAAGAAGGGCAAGTATTATCTCAATTCACAGTGAGAGAAACTAAGGCCTTGTCTACACTACAAAGTTTTGTTGACAAAACACTGGAGGTGTACACACTGAAATGCCTCTCCCACCGATGTAACTCCCCTGCAATGCTGACATAATAAAACCACCGTGACAAGCTGCATAGAGCTTTTTGTGGTGTAATTAGAGCGACGGCGCGTCAGTGTAGACTCCTCACTTAGTTATGTTGCCCTAACTGGCCTCCAGGAGGTGTCCCACAATGTCCATCATGACCACTCTGGTCAGCAGTTTGAATTCTGTCCTGAAGGTACACAGGTATGCGCCCCTCATTTAAAGGCCCAGGAATTTTTGAAATTCCTCTTCCTGTTTGCTCGCCATGCACAGTTCACACAGCATCTTCCCAGCTGACCATGCTGGCTTTCCACAGCAGACATGCTCCTGCGTGGAGCACATCGGAGCTGTTGGATCTGCTAAGTATATGGGGCGAGGAGGCTGTGCAGTCGCAGCTTTTCACCAGCTGTAGGAATTTCAATACATATGGGCTACTTGCTAGTGGCATGCAGGAGAAGGGGCACAAAAGGGACATGCAGCAGTGTCATGCTAAAATCAAGGAGCTGAAGCAGGCGTACCAGAAGGTAAGGGAGGCTACCCATCACTCTGATGCAGCGTTGAAAACATGCCGCCTCTATAAGGAGCTGCATGTCATCCTCAGTGGCGACCCCGCCTCCACTGCCAAGAGCCCTGTGGATGCTTCGGGGAGACTGGAGGCAGCGGCCAGCATACTCAACCCTGGTGAGCAAGTGGTGGACAAGGGGGTGGAGCTGAGGATGATGTGGAGCACATGGAAGGGCCGTCTGGTGGCACAGCAAGTCAGGACCTCTTTTCCACTCCGGAGGGGTCTAGGCAGTCCTAGCATTCCAGCTCTAGTGTGCAGGACAGGGGAACTCCGGTAAGTGCTTATTTTGCTTTGATATTGCACAGTGAAAGGAGATTGAGTTCTCATGAACTTTGTTGTATGGTAGAAGGGGGATAAGGGACAGAAATTAATAACAGAGCCTGTGGGGCCACAGCAGAAAAGTTTGTTAATGTCCAGGGAGATTTCCCTGGAATCCTCTATAGCAATCTCTAGGAAACTTTCCTGCAGGTTTTCTGCAATCCTCTCCCTAAGATTTCTTGGGAGAGCTGCCTTGTTTCTCCCCCACAGCTGTAGGAAATTTTATCGCGCCACCCGGCAATTATTTCTGCAGGGACCAGAGCAACACACAAGCAAGCAGCATACAGAGCCAATATGAAGCCACATGCAGGCAGGCAGATGTACCCTTGCATCCTGGATTACTCTTAGGAGTGAGACATTGGGCTTGATTACCCTAGCCTGTGGAAAAGGGTACCAATATTCAGAATAGGCTTCCTAGCCACTTATAGTAACCCCTTTCAAAAACCACTTTTTGTCCCGTCTTGCCCTTTCCTCCCTACTCCCCCTCCGCCCCCGCCCTGCAAACTCACATTAATTGGGACTTGCAGCAACCCATGTGCTAGCCCAGGGACAGTGAGAAAGAGGTATGTATAACTTTTGTGATTCAGGGCTGTGAGTACACTCTCAATACTATCTCTGTTCATTGTTTCTTTGTCTTCTACAGATGCGCCCTTGAGAACACACTCTTCCACACTGGCAAAGCGCCTCCATCAGATAAGAGGTGACCTAGGAGGAGTAAGGAGTATATGTTTCGTGGAGTGCTTCAGTCAATAGATGCAGCACATATTGAAATAAGCGTGGAGGGAGACAATTAGTGAAAGACTGAGGCCGAATAGCCAGGAAAGGACACGGGCAGGAGCAGATGATAAAGCTCCTGGAGGACTAGACGGAGGTGTCAAAGTCCCTCATTAGCCTGCAATCAGTGCAAATCCATACCCGACTCCCGCTCCAGCCACTACAGAACTCCGGTCTATGCCCTTCCCAAACTCCCCCACTGTATTCATCATGTGTTTCTGGTCCCCCACAGTACCCCGTGCACTCCAAGCCTGAGGACTGGTTTTCCAGTGAAAATTGGAATTACACCCAGCTGTGAGAGCTCTAACCACGAGACTGTTCATTTGCATGTCCCCTGTTTGTCCAAAGGTTTGTGTTTTATCCCATTAAAACTTAAGTCTTTGAAATAAAATGGTTCTTCACTTGTGACATACATACATCGCTCAGTGCTAACACTGAAACAGTGGCATTTACTCCTTGCAATTAATGCTCAAGAAGCAAGCACTACAGCAGTAATTCATGGCGGCAAGTAAACATTGCCTGGCCGAATTCATCACATACAGACACATTACTGGGAATCATTGTCAAAATGCTCCTTCAAAGCCTCCCTGATTCCAATAGCTTGCTGCTGCGCCCCTCTAATTGCCCTTGTATCTAGCTGCTCAAAATCAGCAGCCAGCTGATCAGCCTCAGCAGCGCACTCCTGGGGAAACTTTCCCCCCTTTGATTCGCAAATATTATGGTGAGTACAATAGGCCACAATGATCATCAGAATATTTTCTTCATTGATGTTTAACCAGACAAAAAGACAGCGCCAGCGACCTTTAAATCAGCCAAAGGCAAATTCAACGGTCATTTGGCACCTGCTGAGCCTGTTGTTGAAGCACTCCTTGCTGCTGTCTAGGTTCCCGATCTAAGGCTTCATAAGCCATGGGAGCCAGGGGTATGTGGGGTCTCCAAGGATCACTAGGGGCACTTGCACACCCTCATTTGAAATCTTCTGGTCTGGAAAGAAAGTCCCAGCTTGCAGTTTTCTATACAGTCCAGTGTTCCAAAAGATGCATGCATCATGCGCATTCCCTGACGATCCCACATTGATGTCAGTGAAACAGCCCCAGTGATACACCAGTCTGCAAGACTGTGACAGGGTGGACTGGGTCTGGAGCTGTCTGCTAGAGGCCTTGTAGCCCTGCCACACCCCACCCCAGAAAAGGGCAGTAGAGAGGTCCTCCAAGCTGCCTAGAGCGGCTGTATGGGAAGCAGCTAATCAGGGCCAAGTAAGCTACTATAAGGGTATGTCTACACTACGGGATTAATCCGAATTTACAGAATTAGAATTTTGGAAACAGATTGTATAAAGTCGCAAGTATGCGGCCACACTAAGCACATTAATTCAGCGGTGTGCGTCCATGTACCGGGGCTAGCGTCGATTTCCAGAGCGTTGCACTGTGGGTAGCTATCCCATAGCTATCCCATAGTTCCTGCAGTCTCCTCCGCCCATTGGAATTCTGGGTTGAGATCCCAATGGCTGATGGGGCCAAAAACATTGTCGCGGGTGGTTCTGGGTACATCCTTCCCCTCTCTCCAGGAAAGCAATGGCAGACAACTGTTTCACGCCTTTTTCCTGGGTGAACAGTGCAGACACCATACCACGGCAAGCATGGAGCCTGCTCAGCTCCAGACAGCAGTCATGAACGTAAACACCTTGCGCGTTATCATGCAGTTTATGCTGAACCAGAACCTGCAAAACCAGGCGGCGAGGAGTAGGCTACGGCAGCGCGACGGCGAGAGTGATGAGGACATGGACATAGAATTCTATCAACCCGCGGGCCCCGGCGCTTTGGAGATCATGCTGTTAATGGGGCAGGTTACAGCCGTGGAACGCCGATTCTGGGCCCGGGAAACAAGCACAGACTGGTGGGACCGCATAGTGTTGCAGGTGTGGGACGATTCCCAGTGGCTGCGAAACTTTCGCATGCATAAGGGCACTTTCATGGAACTTTGTGACTTGCTTTCCCCTGCCCTGAAGTACCAGAATACCAAGATGAGAGCAGCCCTCACAGTTGAGAAACGAGTGGTGATAGCCCTGTGGAAGCTTGCAACGCCAGATAGCTACCAGTCAGTCAGGAATCAATTTGGAGTGGGCAAATCTACTGTGGGGGCTGCTGTGATGCAAGTAGCCAAAGCAATCACTGAGCTGCTGCTACCAAAGGTAGTGACTCTGGGAAATGTGCAGGTCATAG